TATGATCTGCAGGTGGATTAAACCATGCATGCTTCTAAGAATATGATCAAAAGGTCGCAGTATACGTGACTTTGTTTGTATTGTGGAGACTTGCTGGGGAAGTCATAGTCTTTTCTTTTTCCATGTTGAGAAAGTCGGCTATAGACCACATGTTATAATGCTTTAAACTTAGAATTGGTAATCATGTTTCAGGCTAGCTACAAACGATCTCTCTGAAGCCTAGCTTTGCTCTACTGTTAAATATCATCATAATAATACAATGCTGTGTTATATTTAACCATAATCATGTTTAGCATAATCAATTCAAGTTTACAAAGTCATAAGAATTTACACTGAGAATTATTACACAAATTTCAATTGAATTTTAGTGTGAAGTTTTTATTATCAGATGGACATGGCAGGACGTTTTGAGATAATAATAGAATTATTGCATAATTTTTTCAGTTGATCGCATTAAAAACAATTTTGTGAAAGTCACGAGAAACTTCGAGACGCAATTGATAATCGAAGGGACTCAACTAAGGTTGATGCACTCTGAACATCTTAGAGACTCATGTTCAAGCTTTCCAGCATGGGCAGCAAGACCCCTGGCTTTTACAATTCTCGGTCAAATATTGACACATAACCGGTGATAGTTTATTTATTATACAAGTTCATCGCGAAGGTAGCGGTGATTCGAGATTTACCGGAATCACTCAACAGTACCAATGAAGATCCCACCATGAAGTCGATAGTCTCCACTAAGCAACAGCTGGTGTATTAGATGCATAGTGATTATGTGTAGCATAACCTTAAGCTGTGTATGTGAAAACTCTCTGCACGAATCAAATCAATAGCATGTCACACAAAGGCTTATTCACTATGGAAACGATAGACGATATACATGATGAAGTGCATGATGAGACGCATGAAGTAAACTAAAAATTGACAATAGTCCAGTACACAGAGAGACGGATTGTATGGTGAACAGCTATATTCCCAGTACAATTTAACTCAAACTCGTGCATTCTGCCTTCAGGCACGCACAGTGAGCTGCATATTTCACAAAACCCCAGCAACCACCAAGATAACACACTCAAATGTAAAGTGCACAAAAGCACTGTCTTGAATATTTAACTAGCTCTGAATCCTCAAAAATTGTTCTTCAACTCTTTCCACTCTTTCCACTCTTTCCCACAAATCCCGAAAGATGGCAACAAAGGCTGATGACCCTTGTTGGAGCCTGTCCACCTCCTTCAAAGTTATCACCTTGACACATCTTAGGGTATACTGCCTAGTACATCATCATTACTGGGAGTACGTGAAGACTATTGAGCAACGGCAGAACAAAGTGAGTTTGGTCAACCTGCTTTGTATGGTCACTGTGTTGGCTGATTAGCATTTACCAGATCACTGACTTACAACAGGATGTATAAGGCACAAGGTCGACAGATGGTGAGGGCTCTCCTAGCTGAAGGATATTGATAGAGGTTTGGTACTTTTGGGATGTTATCGTCTTGAGGTTTCTCACAAGTTGTGATGCTGAAGAAGTACAGTTGCGCTTGCTCTCAGATTTCGGGTCCATGATGCGATCTTATCATTGGATGTTCAGTTGACCACACGAGATCTGTCCAGGATGACGGTTGTCTGAAGGAAGTCTGTCCAGCTTTCGTTAGATGAGCTCAGTCTGAATTCAAGTGTGGCTGTCATGACTGCTGCTGGTGATGGAAGATGAAGTCTTGGGTGGCTACTTCGAGGCTATCAGAAGTTGTCGACTGCGAGATTGGCAATCACACAAGATCAGTCCAGGTTGAAGGTTGTCTTAGGGAAGTCTGTCCAGCTTTCGTTAGATGACCTCAATCTGAACTCAAGTGTGGTTGTCAAGACTGCTGGTGATGGAAGATGAAGTCTTGGGTAGCTACTTCGAGTCCATTGGAAGTTGTCGACGGCGAGATTGTCAATCACACGAGATCAGTTCAGAATGACGGTTTTCTGAGGGAAGTCTGTCCAGCTTTCGTTAGATGACCTCGTTCTGAACTCAACTGTGGTTGTCATGATTGCCGTTGGTGATGGAAGATGAAGTCTTGGGTAGCTACTTCGAGGCTATCAGAAGTTGTCGACTGCGAGAGTGTCAATCACACGAGATCTGTCCAGGATGAAGATTGTCTTAGGGAAGTCTGTCCAACTTTCTTTAGATGACCTCAGTCTGAACTCAAGTGTGGTTGTCATTGTTGCTGGTGATGGAAGCCTGAGCCCAAACGTGACACCAATGACTATCGACGTGGCTGGAGTTAGAGAGTTAGATATCGTCCGCATATATCAACCCGGCCACCTGGAGGGATTACGTACAGATGCAGTTGTACGGTATCCACCATGGCTTGGCCCATTGTAGTGTACCAGTACGTTGCTCCTCCACCGGGATAGTAACCAGTGCTACCATAGACCTCATAGACCTCTTAGAACCCATCAACGGGCTCTATAGAGATCAGGAAATCATGGTAGCACTGGTGAAGCTGGTGGATGTGAGAGCGAAGTACGGCCAGTTCGAGCTATGTCGGTACGGACACACACACGTACACAAGCACATATTACCGGCCATATAGAGTGTGTTTTTAAGTGTCGTACTTTGATAGAAGTGTGTTTAACAACTTGGGTAACCTCAACTTGTTACTCCACTTTGATCTAACCTCTGCAAACAATGCATCATAATGTGTACAATGGTTTGTTTTTTAGAATGTTGATCAAGATTCAAGGCAGTTGTTTTGGCGGGCCCTGCTTCATTGGATAAATCAAACCAAAATCGTGGTGTGCGTAACGCAATATGCAGTGTGCATAAGTTCAGAACTTTCACGGAAAGAAGCCATAACCTTCGTATCTATTCTACTCTAAGTGTGACTGTTATGATATCATTTATGCAAGCCCCCTAACAAATTGCACGCACTCTTCAGTGTTCCGTTTGTTGGGCGTTCACCAATGTTATTTCATGGGCACATTTATAATCGATATCAAGCTGAACTCAAGCTTTGGGGTCCCTCAATATGTAAAAGAACCGGTGGAATTAAGGATAGTGTGGAAGATGAGGGTGTTAAGCAAGCTCCCAGTTGACATGGGAAAGTATCTGTTGGGTAATCGAACACAACTCTTTACTGATGTAGATATGGCTATGTACACTTCAAACACCCGACAGTCAAGACTTGAAGCACGTAACTAAGCCTGTGACTGAGATCTGCCGTGCGTTCACAAGAACTATGACCCGATCTCAATTTAAATTCCGAATTGCCTTCAATCTGAAAGTATCATGAGGGAAAATCTTCTGGATTTCCAATTACTTATATACAGTTTTATGGTAACTGCTAGAATTTTCAGGTTGTGAAACGAGCAGACCCTCATTGGTAATCGTGTAGGCCAATCCATTGCCTACTGAGTAATCCAGAGCTCATCTGGTGTCCAGTGTAATATTGCATATCTATAAACTGTTGATTAATTAACATTCCCTCAGACAGATCTTTCGCTTTCAATGCCCGTGAAATGTCCCAACATTCCCAGCATGCCTAACTTCAACATATGTACTGTAAGCTTAAAAGTTGCTACTTATCCGAAGATCCTTGATGAATTACGTGAAGTTTTGGAGCTCAAAGACAAAAGTGGGCAATGACGATCCACCGCAGAATTAAAAGCCGTGTAACTTTTACATTAGAGGACATTCCAATTGTGATTGGTATCATGGCTTAAACGTGAGCACAACGTATAACGTGGCACATTAGGCACATCGGGAAAAGTGCCACTTCTGCCTAAGCACACTGCAGACACCAAACGCATCTGTTTGTAACCACTTCGTAATATAATTGGACTTGCTGTGTATGGTGGGGCTATTCACATGTTGATCATAAGTTTGTGAGTTCAACAGGAATGTGCACTTTACACACACCGTAGAATTTTGATAGTTATATGCTCTCAAAACACTGAGTTTCACACTGCTAAAGACGACGTAAAGAGCGAGATATTAATCTTGGAGCCATGTACACCAAGTTTCCTTCAGAGTTATCAAAGTATGATTGACAATGATCCTGATAAGTTGTTCAATAGTGTTGTCGCATCTACAGCAGGTCTTCATGGGTAAGGAATATAAATAATCGTACATTCAAGTGATCATTCCTGAGGAGTACAGAGTCCATCATGCAAGATTTGCAGGTTTCACCTTATTTGTTAGCAAGTAGCATAGCTCATCGTAATATCTTGCTCCAAGGAGAAAGGCTTTCGAAGTTTAGTAGACCTGAATTGAAAATTCTAGAAATGTGCAGTAAATTAGGTCACCCCCACATGTTCGTATTCATAGGTACCTCAAATCAGCAATGTTTCAAATCTCTCAGGCGTTGTCCATGTTTGCAGTCCTTTTCTAATCTTTCTGTATAATGCCATCTCAGAAGACTCGTTCGACGGGCTTTCTGCATATACGTCAATATGGAATGATCTGGAAGCTTAGAAGTGGTCTCGGGTGTTTTGATGAACAAGGCAGTAAAGATCGACATTGACTTTCGGTCAGTAACTAAACTCATTCAGCATTTCTCAGAAGTAATACTGCACAACTGAATGGCCGAACTGTCTGCGTAATTTACGTCATATGCATTTAGTTTTGTTATGTCCTGTTCTGTATCGTTGTGCATAATTCTCCCTGTTTAGGCAAATTGTCTCGTTTTGTCAATTGTTCTTCACCAATGTGCGAGAAAGCGTTGGTGTATTAACTCCATTTGTTGTGGTGTTCACTGTGGAGTTTTTGGAGATGATTTCTAAGTGGATGTTGTATTAAGTAGTATATTAAAGAGCAATAAAGAGCAATAAACAGCATAGCGATTCAGCTGTCAGATCAAGAAAGTTATAGAGCACGTTAGCAACTAGCGATGTTGGTCCAACCATTCAAACAATGCTGTTCTCATGGTTTCATATTGCTCTTGAGCTTCGATGGAGATCGAATGCTGACAATTTGGAATTAGCAATAGCTTCTTATCCTCAATTGGAGCCAATTTGATGAACTTCTCGGATGCCCTTGGATCGTTGATCTTATCATCCGTGCCATGAATAATGAATAAAGGCACTTTTGAATAACCCTTGATATACTCTGGGTTCGACAAATCATCACCTCTTTTCAACATACCAACCATCTGACCCAATGTACACCACGTTGGACTCAACAATGGGTTCGCTTCAACAAATTTCCTCCATTCGGGATCGGATGTTATCTTGTCAATGGTGATGGTGGCCACTTCGAACCTGAACATTGGCAGCACCTTGGCAATCATTCTCAAAGCCAACTCTTGATAGTAAGGTGGTTTCATTCCCTTCACCAGTTGGATAAGAGGTCCAGTGGTGAATATTCCACTTAGTCTATCAGCATGTTTACCACAGATTCCATAGTCTAAGATGATACCACCACCCATGGAGTGCCCTCCTAGGAAAAGAGGCTCGTCAGGACCCAGCTCTCCAATGTTCTTCTCCAAGAAGAAGTCCAGGTCGCTCATCACCTGCTCTGCCTTAGTCACTCCCTGCTGTTTTCCTGGAGAGGTCCAGCCTGAGCCTCTCTGATCAAAGAAGAACACTTCATACCCGTGTCTCACTAGATGGTCAAAGAGCCTGACGTACAGTTTGGCATACTCACAGAACCCATGGACGAAAACAACACGTCCCTTGGACTGCTTATCCTTCGGAGTAGGCTTTATCCCCCCACCGTGTTAGAACATGTGTACAGACCGTCACAGAGCGAGAAAGAGACACTTACCCAGAACGTCGTATAGAAAGTCACACCATCGTGGTCCACCGTCTCTTCAATGTACTTATTCTCCGGTGTATACGAAGGCACCGGAACCTCTCGACCTTCAACTAGCGTATCAAACTTCGTAGCCATCCCGTGGTTCTTCTACCGACTAATTCGAACAAATATGCCTGGTGATAATCTTCTCTTCACTGACGGAAAAATGGCGCTACCAAAGCTGCTAGAACTATATGCCCTGCCCTACTGTCTACTCGCTACACCATCAACTCCTTGCTTTCACCAGAACGCAGCGTCGGAGAAGAGAAAAACGCACCCATAACGGCTCGGTACATGAAATTCCTTAGAGATTAGCCGAAGAACACGCCTTGGTAGTAGAAATGGACGAAGGTCGGGACAAAACATAACGGTTTTGATGTAAGGAGGGCTGTAGAAATGAAATTTGATGTTTTCATGAGGCTACGACTGCTCGGTGTTTAACCTTAAGCCACCTTGCGCCGAATGAGTGGTTATCCTGATTGCCGGGTTGCAAAGTGGGATGCTCCAGCGTCACAAGGGCTCACGGGCTATGGGCAACGGCCAGCGGTCAACGGAGCCTTGCCTAGGACACTGTAGAACGTGTATACACCACTAATCAACCACTACTCGCCTACACGTTGTGCTCACTAAAACAAACATCAATTTCATTTACATAGCATCACTTAAGAGAACAGCAAAACGGAAGGCCAGCGCACGGTTCCACCTCAGATGACATTTTTGGCGCTGTTGATGACCTGCTTAACAAAACTTGTCTCGTGCTGAGCCTCTGCAGCCTCCCTGTTGGCCTCTTCAACGGCTCGTGGTTCAGATCGAGGGTCCAAGCTGGCACGGTTTGCATGAGCCTTGGTGTCGGTGGTGTAACGCGGAGTGCTCGTCACTTCCTGGAAGTCTCCGCCTTCGCTGCCATACGTAGAGCTAGCAGAGTCGCCAATGGCTTGACTCTTGCTCATTAAATCACCTCCACGACTAGAGCTGGAGTACGAGTCGTCTTCTCTATTTGGCTGCGAATGCAATCCAACTGGAGCCCCAGGTGTGCTTGAAGGCTTCACATCATCGCCTCTGAGCTTCTGGGCAGTGTTTGACTCGTAGGCAGCATGTGAGGCGTGGATGTCTGCTGGCTTATCCAAATTGGCACTGGCAATGCCCTCAGCAATTGGATTACGGTTTCTCGTGAGATCAACAACTGGCTTGATTGCACTGGTATCTGGAGCAGTTCTGTAACTCTTATCAACTCCAGACTGTTCGCCAACTCTGTCGTAGTCAGTAGACTTTGACTTGCCATGTCCTTTGCCCGAAATATCACTGGTACTGGTGGTAGATGTATCACCACTCTTTCCCTTGATGGCAGCCATACCACCGGTCCCCAAATCCTTGTCTCGTGCCTCTTTGGTAGTTGTGGTGGATGGTTTAGAAGTGGAGTGGCTCTCATCAACACCACCACGAGACTTGTAGCCAGCTGCAACAGCAGCATCTACAGCACCACCGGTACCACGGCCTGCGACATCTCTCTGGGAATCTTCTGTGTGGCCATGCTTAGCTCCACTGTGTTGATGAGATCTGTGACTGTCATGATTGTCATCAAAATCATCAGCAGTCTTGGTGGTATCTTTGGTATGCTTCCAAGAAGAAGGATTTACTGTGTATGAAGAAGCATCACGGCCAGTGGAAGAGGTGAAAGCACCAGTTTCGGTGATTCTATCACCACTGTTCCAGGTTTGAGGATCAACATCACTTGAATCAACACCATGTCCAGTCTTGCGTTCATAATACTCCGTTGGAGTATATCCAGATGTGGTGGTGAAATCATTGCCTCTACTCTTGGAACCAATATGGGCACTGTTGTAAGTATCCTCCACACGGGAGGCTGGACCTTCAGCTGGTTCAACATAATGGCCCATTGAACTGGTGGTGGCAGCCTGAGCTGCATTCTTTGCAGAGTTATCTGGAACACCAGTCTGAGCAACGTGTCTGGAACCTTGTTGTTGAACTGGCAATGTTGTGCTCTTGCTCTCATGATGGCCGGAATCATACGCCTTAGCCTTTTCAACCTTTTCGGCATTAGCACCAGAGAGTGTAGCACCTGGACCAGCATCTGGTTTTCCAGTATAGTTAACCTCCTGGTCCTCACCTTCAGTTGATCCACTAGTAGTAGCACCACCACCAAGACCAAGCATACCAGCAGCAGTAGCCAAGATTCCCTTACCTGATCCTTTCTTTTCGCTTGAATTCTCACCACCACTAACATCACGTTTCTTCGAACCAAAGGCATCTGTAAAGGTGGCATCAGATTCACCAGCAGTAATATGTTGTTCATCACCGCCATGGTAAGCGAGTGTCTGACCACCAGAGCCTTGGTTGGCCTTGGTATTGTCTCTTGCTTGTTCAGATGGTTCATAAGCTTGAGTATCGGAAGTTCTACCTTTGCGTTGGTCACTCTCCTTGCCAGTAGCTAAGAAAGCACCACCAACACCAGCAGATCCAGGAGAGCCAGAAACACCAGAGGCACCTTTACCTGGAGCAGAATATGACTTCTCAACAGGTACATGAGATTCATCGCCAGCGTTCAATGCTTCTTGATGTCCACTCTTTAAACCAGAAACATAGGCACCAGCTTTATAGTGCTCGTCATAAACCTTCTGAAGCTTCTCATCGGTCTTATCCTTTGAGTGAGTACCACTGAGGGACTTGGAAGCATCAGAAGAGGAGAACTTGTCCCTCTTTGCCTCTTGACCTGCCTTGATTCCAGCAGCGTAAGCACCCTCTTTGTAACTTTGTTCATATACTTCATCCAAGTGTTCATTACTGCCTGTCTTTGAGTGAGAACCATTCTTTGGAGTTTGACTGCTCTGGGTGTGTTGTCCCTGAGTAACAGTTGCACCAGTTGAATGAGCAGGAATTCCAACCTCTTGACTATGGTCATTTCCATCACTGCCACCAAGCGAAGTTTGCTGGTATTGTTGTTTCACATGTTGCAACCCAGCTTTCTTTCCAGCAGCGTAAGCACCAGCGTTGACTCCCAAATCATAAGCCTTCTGCTGTTTGGCTTTGTTTGCTTCGTCATCAAGATTGTTCTCCTTTGATTGATCTGGAGAACTGCGTGAATCACAGGTTTGTTTCACACCGGCTGTCTTGTGTTGGTTTAGGCCTTGTCCGCCGTGCACACCAGTTGTTTCATATTGACCACCCGATGTTGAAGGACTAGGATCACCAGTGTTCTTAGACTGGCGCCAGTCTTCCAAATTTTCACCAGTGCCAACATAGGTGATGTTCTTGTCCTTGGAAATATCAGCAGTGTTGTAAGAAGTATCGTAAGCAGTACCTCTACCTGTGCCATAAGCTCCTGTAGAACCGGCAATTCCAGTGGCTTCAGTGGTTGCAGTAGCTTCAAAGGCATCAGTAGCCTCACGTGCTTGAGAACGCTTAAATTCTTCTAGCTCACGTTCATCAAGATTGCCGTACTGAGAACGTGATGAGGTAGTGTGAACGCCACGTTGAGTTCCCCCAATTACAGCAGAAGTGTCCATGGCACTATCCACCAGCTTTTGAGCTGTAGTGGCACCTGAGTTGTACAAATCTCCCGGAGGCGCCTTTGCTGTCGAACTTGAACCTGTGCCAGACTGTTGACCTTCAATGGCTCTTATCTGGCTCTGTTGGTGGTGTGCTAAACCAGTAGCTGAATCACCAGCAACAACTGTACCAGTAGCCAGGTTTGTATTTGCAGAAGATTCAGTGCCTCTCAACTGGCCGGAACTATAAGGTGGTGCATCACCACCCACTGTTCTAGTGTTATGGAGCTGATCGACTGGTTCACTGCCAGTGTATCCCACATTGTCAACCACTTCTTGTCCATGGTTGCCTCCTCTTAGAAAGCCAAACGTTTTCTTTTTCGGTTTCTCCCCAGAATAATCATTAATATAGGTATGATTCGAAGAAGTAATGTCGTAGTTATCTGTGTATTTCTTTTCTCTGTCAGTCATTTTGTTTCTTGTAAAGATTCCAAAGATATTGACTAAACTAGCAACTGCCAACAAGAAGACAGAGGTCCATATAAATGCCAGCATTGTACGACCCAAACTTGTTGAATGCCCCGCATCCCTAAAGCTATTACGAGCCTTGACGTAACCAGCTGTAAGCAAACTTGCTGAAAGCGCAATGAATAAAAGAGCAAGTATGGTAAAAACCTCGAGTGTGCCAGTTAGCAAACGCATTGATGGCAAGCAAACGCTAAAGAGATTTGGGATCAGCGCCAACAACGTGAATAGCAAACCAATTAGCAGGAAAGCCCAGCCAGTCTTAGAGAGGTAATACGTTGTTCCCTTTCTTGATTGCAGCCCTTTGGGAACGCCCTCGGTTGTGTCAAAGTTTGAGACAGGGGACATTGGATACGCTGGAGAAGAATCAGTACAGTCAACATTGTGTCCATTGGACACACCACAGGAGTTGTAGCTTGTCCATCTAGTCACTGGATGTGCACCAGGGATTAGTTCTGTTCCTGCTTCAAGCCAATACCACTTGTTGATTGGAGTCGCAGTTGTGGAGCCGCATAGAATGTTAAAGAATAGCAATAATCCAGCTCCCAGTAGAGCCACGAGGGAGATGAAGTAAGGCCAACGCATTGTCAATCAGTTAAAACCTGGAGCAATATGAAGTAATTGTACCTGGAGAGTGTACCTGAATCTTATGCATGTATCACTATATTGCACCTTTTAAAGGACAAAACACCATGGTGTTGCTCGTGTTTTATATATAGCACTCATCTCCTGTGGAGTTGACGCATGATATTTGAAGCAATCCAATGGAAGCATGGTATTTCAGCGTTCATCTTTTCTACGAAAAGTCTAAATGCTTATGGCTAAAGAGTGTACATTGTTTAATTGAGCTATCATACACTATGGATGATTATCCTTTTTCTCTTAGGAGTCTTTAAAGTTTGCTCAAATTTGCTGTCTCCAATTTCACTTCATTAACATTGCTCAGATGTCATCATCACACTTCATGGCTATTGGTGCAAGGATTGAACGATAACTCTAAGTGATGGCCCTCAGGTGTCGACTAATAGAGATATTTTGCTGTTTAGTGCAGCTGATTGATCAGCCTGTATCCTACTTTGAGTCTTAACGTCGGTGTTAAAATTGCTAATCGGAGCTTTAAAGTTGATTGTACCTGAAATGCGTGGAGATTTTCCCCATAGAACACAGTTGCTCAGGTTAAACACCCATTTGGGTATAAACCAAAGTCTGTCAACCACCAACAGGTTTCACCAGCTCTGCTGATATATCTTTGGCCTGTGAACTGTGGTTCAATGGTCATTTCGGCCTCCTTTTCCAGATGTGAATTCGGATTGTGTCAAATTCACCAAAACAAAACTGCAGGTGATTGCTTTTTATTCTACGCACGGCAACCTTTACACCACTCGAGCCGTATTAGCACTCACCAAACGGGCAATTCACACACGACAAAAGCGTGTACTAATTGGTCAATTAACAAGCAAGGCGATATGCGTAGTACAGATGTGTGTGTGTCTGATGGGATCCACTTACCAGCCAACTAAGTCATTTCCACTGAGCCTTGAACATCAAGAAGATGAGACACTTGTGCTACTAGGATGTTTTTTCTTAGCCTTTTACTTGGGTTCTTAGTAATGGATGACCGATAGGCCTGATGTGTACTTGATATGAAATTTCATCGGCCTCTAGACACACCTGGAAACGTCATGACCCATAATTCGTTAACCTTAATGTGCGAATTTCACTCTGTCCAATTAATAACATGCAGTCGGGGTTTTGGAAGAGAAAGACAGAAAGAACTTGGGCATTCAACGGTATGGTGCCCAAAGACAAAGCTAACGTAAATTTCGCCATCAAATAAGTGGATCTTTGCCAGTCTCTGCGTTGAAAATCTTTTCTAAAACATGTCACCCCATTGGTATAAGCTTGAACCAAATAACCCGCACTTTTGTCCGCCTTTGCGGATTTAATAGGAAATAAAGTCCTGGCTGGCAATAACCCTACAGCGGCGCATGTTAGAAATTGACCGACTTCAGTACCGTAGTATGACGTGTCTCCTCGACAACGGTTCAATTAAACTTTGTGAATTGGATTCAAAGCTCCAGCACGTTAGAGTAGAGAAAAGCACTATGCTCCATGTACTAATTCGGTCCAGCATATGTATGAATTTTGATGAACTGATGTGCCTATTTCCTTTCAGCCCTACACCGAAATAACATGGGCTCGATCTAGAAGTTGCAGCCTTACAGGTCCTCTCGGATGAATCGTTTCGTGTTTCATCGGTGGTCGATCACTACTGGTAACCCAGAAGGTATTCTATCTCAAATCTGGATTAATCTTGCAGTACAGTGCTGACATTCCCTCTAACTTTGCACAATACGAGCCGCCTTGTTTTGAGGCACATGATAGCCAGGCTCTTGCATTACCACTGTAATTGGTGTGCTCCTCGGGGTTCAGCTTATAATCCTCAAGAGATATAGACGCCACGATTTACTGCACAACCAATCATTGCATGGTATATTACTCTCCACGTGGAGTGTATTGGGAACGTTTTTACAAGTAATATGAATAATGGCAATAAGATAACTCTTAGACAATAAAATACGAAAAATAGAAGGCGAAGGTGCTTTTTCTCTAAACCTTAAAGTGAAGAGAATGAAGCTTACATCAAGTTCCCTTTTGAGTGATGTCGACAGTACCTAATGCTTAGTAATAATAATTCAAAGAATTTTTTCGGTCACGAAGCCAAAGGGAGAATATCAGACTGGCTACAGAACCCAAAACATATGCTCCTATGCACAAAGCTGAGTATTTCGGCCTGTACTATTTTCCCCTGTATCGAGTTGAATCTATTCAAGTAAACAGATTTGCCTGTTAACTATGGCCTAAGAGTCCAAGATTAGATTATAGGCGGTGAATATGCCTGTAGTAATGTATGAGGTACATGTTGTATATTCTTCTACTGCAGGATCATTGCTGTCCAGGCCCATCATTATTCGATACAGGCCATGAACTTTATTAAGGATCATGGGAGAGGATAGTACTTGCGAGGCACTGGTACCGAGGCTGAGGTCTTGATGTAAATGTATCATGCCATGTATATTCAAGCGTTTTGATTTTGGTCCATGCGACAGAGAAATCAAGATTTTGAGTATTTCAAACCGCGGTGAAAACCAACTCGTAGATTTGTTGAACTTTGGCTCATTCGTCTGGTTTGCGTAGACTTACAAGCGGACTGTGAGGTCCATTCATTTTACCGTAGCATTACTGGGCGCAGTTCGTGGGTTGTTGAGCTTGGTGATTCCATAGAATTGGCCAATTTAACCCAACAAAATCGTACATATGGCGATCAATGTACCAGTACGAATGTTCTTGTGGAGGTCACACTCATTGGATACACTACAAACCACAGCTTGTCATAAAGCGTGATTTTGAAGTTGGGAGCGGTATAGATGTATACACCATGTGAGACAAGTATAATACCTACGTATATATTCCATTCGTCATCCTCTCGAGTCGTATGGGGAGCTTCAGCTATGTCGTTGTGAAGTGGGACTGAAGGACTGGCTGCCCTACACTAGCTCATGATTTGCTAACAGCCTTTATGCCATAGTGCATTGTTAGCTATACATATGAACACCTCGACCTCATTAACCCCAATCACCATACGCATGAATTTTTAGAGCCTTAGGCTTGTCGGATCTACAATTTGTTTCAATTCAGCGTCACTGAATATCTCCGGAGCTAGGAGGCTGCTGAGTCGCCTTGTCACTCCTGATGATTTCAGAAACTGAAGCATTTGAGGGGTACAGTGGCATACTTTAGATCGTTGAGAAAACTCCTGGACGTTATATACACACGCCCAAAGAGGAGATTAGACATCATCAGTATTCCTCTCTAAGTGTAGTAATGGCTCATTTTACTTTGATTTAAAGCACATGTAGTCAATCAGAACTGGCTAAATCGATAAGGACCTTTGTGTTCTTTAGATACGCAGCGACCATGTTCCGTGAGTAATAATATCATAACTTATTGTAGAGCAACGACGCATGTGCCTCGTACTACATTGTTCCTTAAAACCTTAATATGTTTGATGATTATTTGTTAGGAAGCCCACCATCTTCAACGTGCAGAGTGGTATAATGACCGCTGATCACTTGGAAATCAGTACTAATCGTCAAAATTAATACGCGATATGCATCCCACTGGGTAATGTTACAAGGTCATTCGTGCAACTGGACGCTCTGCTTTGCGAAGTTGGTAGGAATCTTAAATTGTGATCAGCAGTGATAATGCTAGTTGGGGAAGGGTAAGTCACGCGGTCGCCACTCACGAGTCGCTAAAGTTCCAATACTGACAAATCTAAATTTTAATATCCATATAATGAGTCTATGCATGAGATGCTTTTCAAGGACACAACATCAATGTACAGCTCGTGTAACAGAAGCAAACCACAATATTGGTTAATCATAGTATTTTGGCGTTGGTTGAAGCCCATGCGAGCACCCATGTCTGTAGAGCCCAGTAGTAGCTAGAACTTTCAAGTCGGTGGCCAAAACTACCAACATGGTACTGTTGTGGTCTCATACACATGCAGTCGAGGAATTGAACCGCTTATCACATTGCAGCTCTGCTTCCTGGCAAGTTGGAATCTGAACTAAATGGCTGTGTTGTGTATCAAACTTGATGTATACAAAGCACAAAGCCCAGACGCGGCCGACACCTGAACTCTATGCCCAATTGGTTTATGAACATGAACATAGTAATCTGCAGTATATGGCAGCTTTCAAAGTACTTGCAAGTACATGCCGGTTAGGCACTTACAAGCGTGTTGAAACTTCGAGGCTTTTATTGAAAGGTGATATTTTAGCTTCCTTTTACGATTTCTAAATTACAATCAACCTCGGTCTTAATATAAGACACAGAAACTTACAGATCTGCATACGCATATATCATGATTACTAGTGGGTATATGAACATCTTCGTCGGCAGCAGCCTGCAAGTCAAGAGAAAAAGGAAACCACAATGTTCAATCAACACTTGGAGTTTGAATCAGAAGCTCAACAACAAGTAGTTTGATCATATAACGAAAAATCATGTCTGATCTCAAAACCTCGGTATTTTCTGGTTTCATGTAACGGACCACTGCGGCCTGACATCACTGTTCACAAAATATAAGCCGTTCTTACAAACAAAATGAGAACACCTGTTACTGCATACTATTCATGAGGAACAGGAAGCAGCACCAAAGGGCAGAACACAATTGAAGCTTGACCTACATACGGTCTACACATGCATAGATACATAGTGCATATGTATTATGCAACGCTATGGGAAAACTCACGGAACTGGTTGGTATAACTTTGCATATGAAAAACCTAGTTGCTGGGAACTTAGAAGTTAAATGTGTGCTTTTCACATGTAGTTTTTTCATACTGGGTACTGTTTTTAAAGCCCCCACCCATTTGTAGAATCCTTATATAAGTTTTTTCTATCACTCAACCACAGGTAAATGGACAGAGCTCTAAAAACTTGTGTTCTGTAATGGCCTTATATTAGGATACAACATACATGCTTTAGATTATAAAGAAGTAATTCGCGATGGGAGGCATGATAACATATCAAAAGAGAGTCACTGGGGCACTCGAACTCCTCTGCAACGTAATGAGCCCAAGTCATAGGAGTGGGATAATCCGACCATAGTATTCGGAGCTGATGAATCAGAATGGGTTTCCATGATGGCCACCATTATTGCTTAATTTTTTTTTCTGTGGGATAACGCTTCAATGATGGGAGACCGTACACCTTAGATTCGTCTCATAGAATTTGGCCCATTTCGATCACACTCTAGCTCAAAGGTAATTTGGTGTTGATCAACTCTTTACAAACTTCTAAGGTTAGACTCCGTGAGGTCAGCATCGATTAATTAAACAGTATCGTGCATCGTATATGTAGTGTAAAGTGCATAAAATGCATTATGCCTGTTGTTTGAAGTCATTCGGATCATTAAGTCACAAACTGTGCTTGCGAAATGGAGCTGAACTGGTGTTTGAAATACGTATAGGTGTATGCCATGAAGTATCAGGACTTTCTGCGAATCTGACTGCAGTATCGAATAATCACCACTGGATCGTCTGGGCTGGATACTACTATTGAGCCTTACTTTGGAAATCCTCAACAGAAATAACGTCATTGTTAGGTCTTTCATGTATACACGTGTGTAAATATCTCCCTTATGCATAAAATCTGCAATACAATAATAGAAGTGAGCAATTTAGCCTCTAAAGTTGTAAAATAATTGAGCGCACTCCTCCTGGTACCCTCTTTTTTTTCGGCTGCAGAGGGGGAGTATGAGTGTTTAGCCCATACATACACACCGTACATGATGCATATAAATATTAAATGGTGATAGAATACACAAAACATTGAATTCGATGAATAGATAGACAGATGTTCGCTCTATCTAGTGGTGTAATTCACGTGTTCTGGCCGTCATTATTGGTGGAGCTAGCTCCAAATTAGCTCCTGATATAACTCTTCTGTAATTTTGGTCGATGCACCCTATTCCCAGTTTCCGTTCGGAAAACAGACATTTTCACGATTTTTTGAGCGCCCAAAAAATGGGTTACAACAGTAGTAATATCTATATAGGAAATATATGTTCCCTTGTGATCTCTACTGTCAAACTTTCATGGCTATATCCCTTCTGATTGTTGAGATATAGGTTGTTGAATTGTGGGCTTGCAGTCCATAGGTGATGTACTCATGTCCGGGGTTTTTAACCGGCGGCGCGACAGTGCTCCAGAACGAGCTACCTGAGTATTTTGGCCATCGAAAAATACTCAGGTAGCCCGCGCTGTTCTTGAGTATAGAGTCTTTGGGATCTATAAGCCATTGTGTTTAAACTTAGCGTAGCTAAGGAAAATTCGGTGGGTTTTAGTGTAGAAATCAGTCAAATAAAGCCCAAAAATGTGCAAATCAAGACGATTTGAAAGGGTTTTCTCTTGAAAACAATTGGCTTCGAGAGATTGTACGCTCATGACCAATTCCAATTCAAAGTGTATCTTTAGGCCAATCATCTCTGAATTACGGAACTCTGAGTTTGTGCATCTGATAAACAATGTTTACAAATGGCTCCACAGTCGTAATTTAAACTGTCATTTGGATTGAGCTGGTTTGAAAATTCACCAGAGTTTAAATCGTCTAAATGACTTGTAGATTCTAGCACAGGAGGTTACCACACTGTGAGAGGCCCTTACTATAAAAGCAGAGAGCACAGGCTCAATAGATTGTTTGAGCTTCATTACAAGCAATACCACCATAACTCTCAATAACGCTCTTCAGTTTTAAGGGTGATCAGTGTCAAATGTGTTTGGTGTACATTTGACAGACTTGAAATGTTCGGTTCAATTTGACCTAATCTTATGTATGTGGCTAGTTGAACAAACCAAGACTTGATGACTTGTGGACGCCATATACATCTAGTGTTTAATGGCTACCCACTGATACTTGAAAGCCAGTATCTTTACTGCCATATCTAAGAGATGCACTAATCAAGTGTGCACATAAACCGCACAACGAAGAGTGTATTGTGCTACATCTGTTGAGAAAGGGCTTCCACTTTCATCATAGAGTACCATAGACTAAAATCAACGCAGAGAGTATACCCAGTTCAAGCTCGCTTGAGGATAACTGATAGGTCTTGAGATCACTTGTTCGAGCTGATGATTAGAATTCTAGACTTTTCAAAGAGGTACTTTTCGCTGAGCTGAGCTGAATCCTTCTCATTTCATGGTGAATAGGTCAAGGAAAAATGAAACAAGAAACATGACGGGATTTCTGGCGTGCAGAAACCAGAGTAAAATGAATGAACTCTTAAAAGCACTAATGACCATTGTCTAGAAGTTTGAGCCATGGTAGCCGGGATAATAATGGACTTGTACTCTCTATATTAGCTATACGATCAACATAAGACACTAGACGCTTTAATATACACTGAAGTTTCTGGTCTAACTCCGCTTACTTCCCTTATGTTCCACTGCTTCCCCCATATAAAAGCAAGATGTTTGATCTCTACAATGATCAAAGCACCAAGGGGTTCACAGTCGGTTATATAGATTGTATCACTATTTTATGTACGGTACATATCAGAAGTATATCTTTAGAAAATCTTCAATTGGCTATACCCTGCTCATTGGCATCTTTTTCCAAGGACTTCTGCCAGGCAGATATTAAGCCACCGATGCTTTGATCCAAAAACAATGACAATATACGCCACATCACATTTCGACAACAAGAAGCTATATAATGAGCAAAGTTTTGTCTCCTCTCGTTAGGCTTCATTTATAGCACCCAGATCTTGTATATTGATGAAATGTTATGAGTTTGTAAGTGTTGGTCATACTGCGTCTCAACTTGTGAGAACCACGACAACAAAAAAGTACTTAAAGATAACTGGGATATATCTACCAAGGTCCTATATTCAATATAGTGTAATTTTATATCATTGTCTAGTCACTACATTGCTTGTATGGAAAGTATTAGATACCTCTTTTCCACGGTCGAGCCAAAAGGTCAAGCCATTTCAAACGTTACCTCTATCGCGCTTGAGGTACCCGAAAAGTAGCAAGAAATGTAGTACAAAATTTCAACGCAAAAGAATTTACAAGAGTAATTACAATAGAATGTTTGGAAATCTAGGAAGATTGAATTTTATTAATATGAAACCTTTAGGGTATATACCCAAGTCCCATGGTAAATTTTGGTGAAGAAGAAACAGTTTTATCATGAATTAACAAGAATAACGCACGAATAATGCAAGAATAACGCAAGAAAATGAACAGAGATAAAATGATCTAAAATATTAACTGAAACATAAATATTTCAAAAACACACAGGAATACACATATGATACATATTCTCTCTTTAGAATTCACTGATGGAGCGATTAGACGGTTTAAAAGCTATGGGTTCTTTAAATTCTTCACCCTGCTAATTTGGTGCAAATAAAGAGAGATATCATTGGCATCTGTAGTTCCAAGTCCTTTCACCCACACACCACATCCATACCTCATGGTCAAAACAACAACACAAACGCGAAACAAATTCCAACAGAGATTGTAAACAAATCCATAGACAAAACATCAGATATGTGTGGTTAGTACAGATCATTGATAACCATAATGTCTCTACCAGACCTGGACATCGTTATGTACCTATCTCCTCGAATGATCGATATGCTCGCATGTGTGAAGAAGAGAATATCAGCTTCACCAATGGCGGAGAAAAGACTCCTAAAAGACCATCCAAACGAATGTAAACATCATTTCCAAGCGTGTATCGAGCTGTTCAACAGTCTCGAAAGCAGCTTTTCTTTCAATATGGGAAATGTATTAAGTGATTTGAGAAGACGTTTTGTCGAATTCGACATGTGTCATCAGGACATCATGCCAAATACCTCTTAGTATCAAGTTCATGAAATTTATCGTTCTGAAGCACAAACTGGAATTGTGCCCGATGTTGAGAACTGTGAGACAAGTGGGACAAGGGTCAAGAATGAATCATGGTCTAACGATAACACTGGATTAACTATTTGACTCTGTTCAACGAGCCTTCTCGGAGACATCGTTCTCCAAGTTCACAGATAGAACGGCAAATGGAGATTACACGATACAGATGTTATTGACTGCACTCTCAACTTCACATACAGATGATGGTAAGAGCAATAACCAGGCAGCTGATGATGTGGTACAAGACAATCAAGAAACTGAAGACCTTCTAGAGGGTTTGAAGCACTTTGAAATAGCATTACTTCTACGGGATAACAGGTATATCGACAACATCCTAAGCAAGGAGGATGCGACTGAGCTCTCCAGAATAGTTTCTGACTGGAGAGGAGATGGACATCAGCGAGAAGCGGAGAGTGACTGTGCTTCAACAACAGATGCAGATGGACCGAGTGTTAGTGATACAAATGTTGAATGGGAAAAGGCACAGGACGAGTTTTTACAACAATTGGAAGACGCCAATAGTGATCACCCCGAAGATGGTCCTGCAGCCGATTCTCAGGGTGAAAAGTTAGTGCTGAACAACCTGACAGTTCTTTCTAATAAGAAGAGGCCTGCACAGGCGGGTGACAAGAAGCTAAAGTTCAACACCGAGAAAGCAACAAAGTTGTTGAAAGTTACTGTAAAATCCTCAAAGCTGACTTCTTCAGCACTCGATTTAATATCTTATTCACAAGATGAAGTCAAGTGCGTCTACTTTTCCAACTCTATGGATGACGAACTCTACGAAAGCTTGGTACCAACACTCTCATTAGATGCTTGCCATTTGTCTTTATACAATAGTCAGGGATACAAAGAGGATTTCCTTACATCATACACTATTGTTGGGCAGGCTGGGTCCAAGGGACTTGTTCCCCTGAGTATGATACTTTCAAAGAATGCAGAGTGTGGATTAGAATGGTTCACCTTCCTATACACATTCTTCAAGAAGAATGGTGGATCGCATTGGAAGAAGTTACGAGAGTCTATGCAATTACACAATGATAGTATCACTGAGGAGAGCATTCCCCCATTACAAATCATATCAGATCAGGATAAGGGTATCAAGAAGGCCTTGGATATGTTGAGAACCCGGTGTGGTGTTCCGATTGAGAGCTTCGCATGCTCCAAACACGTCGAAAGAAACCTCTTCAAGTACACAATTGCAAGGCATAGAAGGGTTATGCAACATAACTTTTTCCAGTTGATATTTGAATCTGATCCGGAAAAGGTCCCACTAATCCAAGAAGCAATGAAGGGGTTTTTCTTTGAGAGGCATAAGAGAGAGACAGTCAACAGTACTTATAATCTCATCACCAACACGCAAGACTGTGCTAGAGGTCTTCAGCTTTACAATTCGGTGACACCAAGGTTTGACATTATGACATCCAATCATTGTGAGATTTTGAATGCAGAGATGTTTGCGTTTAGGCGATTGAACCCAACCAATCTCATTGTCGAAGTGCTGTCGATGCAGTGCGACAAGGTGAAATTCGCAGAGTCCATGACCTTTGATTGGAATACAGTGAGACAGATGCCTCAATATGATGATGAAATGAATGATGCCAGCGATTTCGATGACGGGAGCGACCCAGATGATGCAAGCAACTTTGCTGATGAAGAGGACGAACCGGAACATGCCGAGATACTCACAAACTATGGCTATTTCTTGTACTCAACAACCATTATCACTTCTTGTTGTCTAAATAGCAAAGAGACTAGTGTAACCGTTGATGAGAGTTCACCTGGAACCAAAGTGACGACTCACAAGCATAGCGTATCGTGGGACTGTGGTTTGTCTCTTAGGGATCTTTTAAAGGTACTGCGAGTTTATGTGAAGAAGATGAGAAGACGTGATTCGTTTGTCAACTTTCGTGCTTATGTTTATCATCAATTGCGAGCCAGAACAGCCGTTGTTACTGAGAAGCGATGCACCATCTCAAAAGAGGGGAAAACAGAAGAAAAGTCTACGTACAGTTGTTCCCATTGTCGCAATCAAGCGTATACATTCTTCGAATGTCCACATATCACTTGTGTGAAGATGAGAAGGGTTCTCAACGGCTACGCCCTTATCCCATCAATGCCACGACTTGCCAAAGAGATTATCTATGAGGACAGTAGAAAGAGGCGCTCCAATTACACACCACCAATATTCGAATACCAGAGCTGTTTTTCAAAGGCCAATAGATGTATCATACGGAAGACGGCGTCTCAAACTTCCAGATCAGCGGTGAAGCACTTCGACTCGCAGGTTTTACTGAAGGCGATCCAAGCGTTAAAAGGTGATAACGAAACCATGAGTAACATCAGAAAGAACTCTAAGAAGAGGCAAAGGATAGCATGTTCTTCCAATAGGATTCCTTCCGCAGGTGAGAAGAAGAGAGGAAGAGGACGACCAAAAAAGTCAGAACAGAAGAGGAACTACAAGGCTAGAAAGCTTATGGAAGAAGCAAAGGCAGATTCAATGAACCCGCCTCCAACGTAAGATGGCTGTCGTCCAGAATCCTCATAGTTTATCATAATGATCAATGTATTTTTGATAGTTTCTAAGTTGTACTTACCCAACCATATTTTACCAGAGCAGTGCCGTCCCCTCCTGTATCCATATGCACTGTATCCATAGAAACGGACCAATACTCCATCCTTCATACCCATATCTACTATAATAAGCGCATATCAATACATATGCCTACATATTATTGCATAATGGTAGAGACAGCATGTGAACATGTGAGTTCTCCTCTAAAAAAAATTGAGTTGTGGAATGCATTGTGTCGGAACTTTAATCGTTTCTTTTTTTTCCCTCTCTCTGTTTCTTTGCGTGCCTTACCGTTTGGA